CCCCCCCCGCGGGGGGGGGGTAGAAAGCGCCGCCGACAAAAAGCGGCAGAAGTCGATTTTGCCGCCGTCCTCACAACGGGGAAACTCGGCTGTAATACGTCGTCTTCAGGTAGCGCATTCACGTAGCTGAATTTGCGTATCTTAAACCGACTCCCCGCTGTAGTGTAGATGTACCCTAAAAGTAGGTTTCCCCTCCTCCCCCCAGTGTTTATATTCTCTTCCAGGTTGAATTGCTGTGTGAAAATATTCAGAATTGGTCCCACTATCAGCCCATAGCTTCATCTTTGGTTCTAACTCCATTTGTTTGAAATTGTCAAATGACACTACAAATGGTATTAGTTAATTGTCACCTAGGCAGTTCAGTGAACATAGCCAGAGACAACTATGCTTTTATTCGGTTCATGGTGCATATTCAAAATGTTGGGGTCTAAATTAGCTGTTACCACTCCAGAAAGAGATCTTGGAGTCACTATGAATAGTTCTCTGAAAACGTCTGCTCAATGTGCAGCAGCAGTCAAAAAGCTAACAATGTTAGGAACCATTAGGGCAGAGGTAGGTAACACAGAAAATATTATAATGCCACTATATCAGTCCATGGTATGCCTACATGTTGAATGCAGTGTGTAGCTTGGGTCACTCCATTTCAGAAAATATTTATTAGAATTGAAAAAAGTACAGAGAAGGACAACAAAAATAATTAGGGGTATGGAACAGATTCCGTATGAGGAGAGAGTAAGAAGACCAGGACTGTTCAGCTTAGAAAAGAGATGACTAAGGAGGGATATGATAGAGGTTGATAAAATCATGATTGGTCTGAAGAATGAGAATAAGGAAGTATTATTTACCCCGTCGTGTAACACAAGAGCAAGGGGTCACCCAACAAAATTAATAGGCAGCAAGTTAAAAAACAGACGTAAAGAAATACTTCTTCACCCAATGCACAGTCAACCTGTGGAACTCTTTGCCAGGGGATGTTTGTGAATGCCAAAAGTATAACTGGGTTAAAAAAAGAATTAGATTAAGTTCATGAAGGATAGGTCCATTAATAGCTATTATCCAAGGTGGTCAGGGATGCAACTCCCTGCTCTGGGTGTCCCTAAACCTCTGACTGCCAGAAGCTGGGAGTGGATGACGGCATGGGTCACTCGATAATTGCTCTGTTCTGCACATTCTTTCTGCAGTATCTGGCACCAGCCATAGTCAGAAGACAGGACACTGGGCTAGATGGACCACTGGTCTGACCCAGTATGGCCGTTCTTATGTTATGTTCTGGAGTTTTCATGTTTGTCTAATTTTGAGTCTGTGAAAGGGAATGCCTGATATTTAAACGGAATTTTAAAAATCCAAATTACTCTTTCATCACTAGTGCTGTTTATTGCTTTCACTTGGGCAGTGAAATGATGCTGGCCAGTTTACTTTCTGGTTCTTATGCATTAGCAGAATGCTGCTGTTTGGATTTCCAGTACCGCAAGAGGATTAACTCTCTTCCCCCCACCCCTTTAAAAAAAAGTTTCCATGGGGAAAAATTAAGTGACAGTGTTTTTTCTTCTCATACCAGGATTTGTAAAACCTCATTTAAAAAAAAGAAAACTTTAAGTGTCTTTCATTAAACGGTGGATCTAAACAAGTTGAATGTCTGGCAAACATTTAAATTTTGGTTTGATTGTAACTGTTCAAATTATATTTTTAAAATAGCCTTATCAATGATTTGTTTTTTAGTAAAAATATTGTAAAGTACAGCTGGACAGTTGTGTTAAAGATTCTCTCTTCAGATAGCTAGTCCCAAAATTCATATACTACACAAGGCCCAAAACCAACCCCGGATTTGGGAGCATGAGAACTGTAAAGATGGATATCTTTTTGTGGAGCTTCCCAAGTAAAATCAAAGGCAGTTTTGCTTGTGTAAGGAGAATGGGATAGGACCCACTGCAGTCTCATTTCTTAGGAACTAAATGTAGCTTCTACTACTTGAACTGGAATTCCCAGACTGAGAAGGCAAGCAATTTGCCTTTGTTTCATAGAGTTTGAGTTTTTACTCTTTTCTAATTTTCAGGTGGTGGCCAGCTGAGATCTGCAATCCCAGGTCTGTGCCTCTCAACATACAGGGCCTCAAACATGATATCGGGGACTTCCCAGTATTTTTCTTTGGTTCACATGACTACTATTGGGTACACCAGGGCAGAGTTTTCCCTTATGTTGAAGGAGATAAAAGCTTTGCTGAGGGGCAAACTAGTATTAACAAGACCTTCAAGAAAGGTAAAATTAAACAAAGTTTATAGTGGTTTATAACAAAACTTCCATATGTTTGTTTCTACATCGTCACTTAACTTGCATCGGAATTATGTGGCTAGTTTTCTGTGTCTGTGTTAAGCTGCAAACTCTGTATAGTGCCATTGGATAGAGCTTAAAATATTAATAGCATCTAACTTCCTCCCTCTCTGTGCTGTTTGTAGGCAACCCCAGTTCTTCCCCACTTAACTTGGAAAGAAGTTATGAGGTGGAACCTGGGTTCTGATGCAGATGGCCACCCCATAGTGTTTAAATATCTACTGAAAACTACTTGGTTTAAAACTCATTCATGCCATAGTGTAACATTTCATTGTTAGCTTGTTCTTTGTAGATTTCTAATTCCTAGCTTTTCAAAAATGTCTCTCAGCAGCAGCAGCCAATACTAATTCCTCCCCATTTTGGACTCCCTTGCACAGCACTTGAAGAAGCTGCAAAACGCTTCCAGGAACTGAAAGCACAAAGAGAAAGCAAAGAAGCACTAGAGATTGAAAGGAATTCAAGAAAACCCCCACCTTACAAACATATTAAAGTGAGTCCTCTCCTTTGTGTGAATGAGCTATATATTTAAATAGGGAAGCAAATTGTGGCTTAGAAGAAAATTCAGATAATCAGTCTACCATTCTTCAAAGATCTCTTCTGGCCTGTCTCATTTAGTACCATAGGTCCTTTCATTGTTATAAGGAAGGTGTACGCATCAGTAAAAGGGACTTCGCGTTTAAGGTCAGTTTTACTGAAGACAAAGGACTTTGATAATTGCAAGTGGGTCCCACCCATCTCAAATGAATCTTGGGGCTTGCTTACCATTAAGAAATTATATTAGCATTGAAAAATAATAAACTGTTAGTGTGAGAACTTAATCTCCAAATCTGGATACTAAAAAGATGGTCTAGATTTTTTTTGCCAGCAACCTTGGGGGCACAGTACCCCATAGTACTTAACTATTTCATTGTACTTTATAATAGTTTAAATTCTTGGGACTTCAGCACATTTTTGTATGCCTCAAAAGAGTTGTCATACTAATACACGTACTATACAGTCTGAAACAATCCTGTGCCATGTTCTGTGCTACATACCTCATTGCTGGTTTCTCTGAACACCTGAGATGCTTGTTAGTGGTGGAGCAGTGCCAGATGCAACCTCTGAAAGTCCTAGATTGCAGAGAAGTATTTTTGCCTTGTTGCCTTTTCTTAGTTGACACACTTCCTTTTAGAGAGGAATAGAAAAAATACAACTGCCTCTGATGTTAGTAGCTGTGTGTGTAATAGCTGTTATTTTTGCCTACATTTTGAAATACCTTGACTGTCATGGGCCTTGATTTAAGTGGTTCTGATCTAAATTCTGTGTGTATGGCCCTAAATCCAAATTTATCCCTTGTCTCTTTTTTTGTTTTGTTTTGTTTTGTTCCACAGTCCAACAAGGTAATAGGGAAAGTTCAGATTCAAGTTGCTGATTTGTCAGAAATCCCTCGCTGTAATTGCAAGCCATCTGATGAGAACCCCTGTGGCCTAGAGTCAGAGTGTCTGAACAGGATGCTACAGTATGAGTGTCATCCCCAAGTGTGCCCAGCAGGAGAGCGCTGTCAAAACCAGTGCTTCACCAAAAGACTCTATCCAGATGCTGAAATCATAAAAACCGATCGACGTGGCTGGGGTCTCAGGACAAAAAGGAACATTAAAAAGGTAGAATTTAGGACAAATACTGAGCTAGCCATTAAAGAGAGTATTTGAGGAGAGTGCTGCTTCTCTTTTATTGTTTGTACCTTGAACAAAAAAAGTATCAAAAAGTTAATACTTTCAAGTGAATTCATCCTACACACAATTGTTTCTTTAAATTTACAAGGTATGAAACTTCCTCAAATGGAAGAAATGATAATAAATCCAACTTCATGGAATATGAGACCTCTGGCAGAGGTGTTTTTTTGCAGTTACAATGCTTTCTTATAGAGTAAGAGTCAGATTCAACTGATTATAAATTTCATTGGTGATGGGCAGGAGATGAGGACTATCAGTACTTCTTCTAGAAGGTAGTGATGTACCTAAGTTCTCATATTGACTTCTGAGCATGGAGGGAGAGGGAAAAAATAGTTTTTTAGATGGCTTCAGATGCTCTTTTGACCAAGCCTGGCTTTTGAAGATGCTAAAGTCTTAGAGGGATGGGAATAAAAAATAAAACACACCTCCATTATTTTCTCTTTCCCTCAACCCCAGAGTTAACACAGCAAATGAAATTAATCACACTTCATGATATGAAATAACTCAAAGGATGGGAGATGGGGCAACCTAAGGTGGTGAGCCTCTTTCCGAGGGGTTACGTCAAGGTAGCTTTCTGTACTTTCTTTTGCCTTTTCTTTTAAGCTCTTACATGGTAAAATGATCACTCTGCAGTTCCCAATAGCAGATTGTCTGGATTGGGCGTGGGAGGGGATGCAACATTGCTCTTACAAACGTCTGGTCACCAGGGAGCTGACATAGCCTCCTTGACACTCAACTCTACAGACTGGATTTATTTCAGAAGAACTCGGAGGGGATTAATAAAAGGCTTGTGGTGATCAGGCTACATTGGACAACACGCTTAAGTTCTTGTTTAAAGTTCAAGAAGGCAGAGAAGAATAATGAAGATACAGAGATTTCTATTGATGGACATGGTGCAGTTGTTATAACTGAAAGCACCAAGAACTGATTAGCTTCAGGAAATATTGAGGATTAACATAAATGTTAGAATGATTGGAGTCCTTAGAGGAGTGGTAGCAGGTGGGGTAGCAGTGATGGGTGGGGTGGGGGATTAAAGTACCTTTCCTGACTGTGTGATAAAGATCCTGGAAATGGATCATTTTGGTTTTCCTTTACACTGTATCGCTGCACACTGTATTCCTGGGGACACCAGTCTGGGATTATCCACTGGGATTCAGGTGGGATGTGCAACAGTTGATATGGAAAAACAAAATCTTACACTGGATTGCAGTCTTGCTCTACTTCGAGGCAAGCATGAGGATGATGGGCCTGGATTTCACGGCTGCTTTAACTTGCCAGGCAGAGGATTGGATTTGATGGACAGATGTATGTTTTGCTCTTACTCATGCAGGCTTCGTTGTTTCTGAACAAGGAGGAGGCTGAGCACACCTGAAGAATGGAAGATCCAGCTATGACTGCAGATGGAATGGACAATTAAGACTTCAGGACAAGTTGTTGTTTTTATCATTTGACCTGCATCCTCAGAGTTCACTCCAGAGCACTATTTTGCTTTCAATTGGCTTCATATTTTCGTCACTTTGAATTTGCACACATCTTGCTAAAGAAGGTATCCTGGAACTTCTCATAGCGAAGGCACATTCCACAGTTCTGGTGGACTTAAACTCAATGTAAGGTCTTCACTGCGATTCTCTGTTAAATGAAGCTGACTGCTGTCCAGACTGAGGATTCTGATGTGACGTTTTGGATTGTAGCTGGACGTGATTTGTGCGCTGTTGGATGATGATGTGTTTTGCTCCAAAATGTAATCTCAACAGTTAGACAAAAGCAAAGAGATTCTGAATTGTTTTTCATCCTTAAGTTATATGCTGCTTAAATATTACACGTAGATAGTAGAGGATTATCTACTAGTCTGAAGTGACCCTGCAGTACCCAGGCAAATGGGCTTGGGCAAAGGCATAGTAGCAAATTTTAACTGTGAATTCTTTGCTTTTGTCAGTTCTAATTAGGGTCTCAACCTTGTATTTGTTTAGTAACTTAGTTTACTGTACATAGAAATTTGGCATAGAGAAATGTTGTGCGGGGCCTAAATGGATATGTCAAGTATTCACTTACCTGTGGCAATATCAGAAGTGTTTGAACAAACCAGTTTCAAATCTGCGTTTCTAACCACTGCTTCAGTTGAAACTATAAACCTTTGATTGGACTTGGGACAGTTCTACTCATGGGTACTTAAATAACTTACTAACAAGTAACTAGAGGAAACCAGAGTAAATTGACAGAGAATACATTTTAACTCTCTTCAGTTTCTTTCTGCACCAAGTACACCTCTACCCCGATATAACACTGTTTTCGGGAGCCAAAAAATCTTACCGCGTTATAAGTGAAACCGCGTTATATAGAACTTGCTTTGATCCACCAGAGTGCGCAGGCCCCCCCCCCACACTCCCCCGAGCACTGCTTTACCACGTTATATCGTTCATAGCATTTTTATGGTGGATTTTCTGTGAAGTTTCTTCGCATACTAAGTATGAAACAATGTATTTGTGTCCTGTAGGAGCTCTACTAAAAATTCTGTCAGTGCTCCATTAGAAAAACCCTTCTGGGCACTTGATTAAACCATCTGTTCCAAAACACACAGGCTAAACTAAAAGGACTTTGGTGGGGAAAAGAGAGAGAGAGACTTTTGAAAATTTCATCCCAGAGATGACAGGTTTGTCCAAGTAACTTAGGAGCCTGTGTCCATTGGAATCTAAATCCCATTTCCAGGAATGACTTAAGTGCTTTTGAAAATGTTATCCTGATGATCTCCTCCTGCAGTACAGCCTTTTCCCCTTCAAAGCTCCAAAATGTGACAGACATGATTCTGGTCTCTCTGGAGCCATTCCCACAACCAGCTACCAGAGCAATTAGCGCTCATAGACTTTTGTCAGACTGTTGGCACCACAAAGTCTGTAACATGTTGGTACTATTTTATTTAAAAAAACAAAACAAAAAAACCTTGAAACTGCTCAGACACTTGTTTGACACTTAAATTTGAGCATCTCAAAGAGCTACTTTTGGAAATGTTTAAGCATTAGAACTGTTGAGACTGTTACAATAAAATGACCCTCAATGTGCTAAGTGTTCACTCCCTTGTATCAAGGTATCATCATTTCCTGGCCATTTCAAAGTCCATCATGTGAAAGCTGGGAATACACAGTCAGCCTGAAGGCTCACTTCTAACTTGTTTTTAGTGGTTTAATTATTTAAGCCAGATTTGTAATATCTGTTCTACATTAAAACGTTATCACAAACTTTTCTTGTTTATTGACTGTTAAAAGTCCCGTTAAAATGAATTGTTGAAATGCTATGCAGTGAAAATGTTTAGCAGTACAGTACGTTGTGTTGTCGTATCAGGTTGATATTCTGTGGGCATCTGTATGTTAGCCTGGAATTAAAACAAAAAAAAAGAGAAAGCATGTGACTTAAAATACTGCCAGTGAGCCTCTAAATAATGTAGAATCTTGTAGCTGTGCTAGGGTGATCAGACAGCAAGTGTGAAAAATCGGGACGGGGGTGGGGGATAACAGGCGTTTATATAAGACAAAGCCCCAAATATTGGGACTGTCCCTATAAAATCGGGACATCTGATCACCCTAAGCTGTGCTGCTATGACTAGGACCAGTGCATGGAGAAGCAGTCTTAATTCTGGCTTTGCTATTGCCTTATACTTAATGGTACAGAATGCCTAAGTGGTGTTTTCTCATGGGTGTTTGAATATATTGTTATAAATATGTGCTCATTTTCTATAGACTGACCATACAGATCTTTTTTTAAAAAGGACAGAAGTACAAGCAGAGCCTTGAACAGGCTATATGTAATTGACCAAGAAAGATACAACTCATTAATCAAATGTGTCCTTCAGAACGGCATAACTGTTTTTAATTGCTGTTTTATTAAAAGTTCTAGTTGTGATGCTTCCATTTTGAAGCACAGTTCTGTAACTTAATCTAAACTTGTGTGCATATGTATTTTTCTATACTGGTCACTGTTGTATAGTACTTTTATTTTAACCAGTTCTCAGTACTTTAATTATCCTAAGGAGCCACCCTACTTAGACCTTGCAATGGACAAAATTGATCTCTAAGGGCTTCCCATCCCATTTTTCTATGCTTCCTCCCTCTTTAACTATACAGATAGCAGGCAATAAGCATGGGTTTCTTTGGTTGACTTTGCAGGGTGAATTTGTAAATGAATATGTTGGTGAATTAATTGATGAAGAAGAATGCCGATTGCGGATCAAACGTGCCCATGAGAACAGCATAACCAATTTTTATATGTTAACTGTTACAAAGGTAAAGCACCATATCTCTACAATATAAAATATACTGCTGCTTAAGGGACTAGGCCTTAAGATCTGGGATCGCAGGATCAGGGTCCATGTTTAAAGCAGAAGAATTACATTTTCTTTCACTTCTAGCTAAAATGTAATGCATTTAGTGCAGGTGAAAGGTCCCAGAGAGTGAAGTCCTCTTTTCATACAGCGGGTACTTCATGGACCATTGTGCTTCAGCCTTGACTTAGTGGGGCTTCTGTGGGGAGTGGGAAAATGAATACCCAAGGTCTGTTCAGTCCATAGTGTTTTTGCTGATACTGCCAACAAGACTGTCAGTCGGAGTGGAATGTGGGCACCTATCTGATAGAATTGCATTGCAATTCCAACATATTTCTGATCAGTCACCAAACAGTTGTATTTGGGAGGTAATTCATTTAGGTCTGTATTGTCCAAGTTTGGGTTTGATCCAGAGCTTATTAACAGTACCATAAGCCATTCATTTCTCCCTGTATAAGCGCTGAGGAGCTTTAGGTAAAAGTTACTTCCAGGAAAAGCCAATATCCATTATAACTCATTTATCAAGTACCTGTCTAAATATATTATCTGCAGTTGTCGTTACTTGACTTGTCAAAGGAAGACTTTTGTTTGTCTGATCCTAAATCTGTGTTTTTGTCTCTTTATTGAAGGACCGGATAATAGATGCTGGTCCAAAGGGGAATTATTCTCGTTTTATGAACCACAGTTGTAATCCGAACTGTGAAACACAGAAATGGACAGTGAATGGGGATGTTAGAGTTGGACTCTTTGCTCTCTCTGATATTCCTGCAGGTAAAAAGAAGCCTCCATCCTGCATGTGCCCTCCTCTCCTAAAATGGAAATCAGTTGCCAGCTCACCCACTTTTTCCCTTCTGAAGTTACTTGGTCACATTGGCATTTACAATTACTAACTTACCTATTGGGACAAAGAAAATGCACGAACAAGAAGTTCTAGCTCTTCATATGCACAGCCTCATTAGGAGCAATTTAGGATGAAATGCAGAATATTAAAGATGAAACTTGCTTTATCACAAACACACAAGAAATATCAAGGGCTTCACCTAACGCTTGAAAACACAGGGAAATTTAATGTTAACTCTTTTTCCATGTCTGCATAGACCTTTTCAGCTAGCATAGATCCCCAATTTCAGATCCGTTCCCTAACATCAGATCTGGAGCAGCCTCCAGATGCTAAACACTTTGTAACCAATCTACCACTTTAAGCTGAGATTAAAATGATAGACTAGCCAATGTTTCTATATGATCTGTAGAAAAACAATGTGTAGTGCTCCTGTCTGGTCCAAAGCTATGCTGGCACTGTATAAACAAAGCAGAGGAAGGATGCTTTGTTCCTTTTCAGAAAAACTAAAAAGAACAGTAATCAGTGTTTATCCAAATGGGAAAATGGACACTATCAGTATAGAGGAAAAAACTATTTGAGGCTTCTATGTGAGTATATTTCACCTAGAAAAGAGTGTTTTAAAAAGAAATTATTTCAATGCTAGGTTTGTAACCAGGCTCATAAGCCTTATAGTTCCACAACCACAAAATTATTGGTTGTTGAATCATCATTTGGTTTTTAGAACAGAACAAAACTGAGTTGTCGTCCTCAGAACATGGATTCTGGATCATTTGTTCTGCCTTGCTATTTACAACTTCTCTCGCTATTGCCTCATGAGTATGTTTTATCTCAGTATTTTTGATGTTATAAATATTGTGATCTTGTAACTATGCCCTTTTAAAAACAATGGTGTTAATATGAAGGGAGAAAATGCTAAAGCTGAATTGCCGTCTTGTGTGTGAATAGTTTTTCTTATATTTCAGGGATGGAGTTAACATTTAATTATAATTTGGACTGTCTGGGCAATGGTAGGACTGAATGCCATTGTGGAGCAGAAAACTGCAGTGGCTTCCTAGGAGTACGGCCGAAGGTTAGTTGTACAGAAATAAAAATTGAGCTCAGTGCACTTGTATTGAAAGCTCTTTGTGAGGGAGGAGAGTGAATAGAGGTCTGTTTCATTTAATGTAATATCTTATATCTGTTTAGTACCTTGAAGGTTCCCCCAAAGGCTTTACAAGTTTGTACTACTGTAAATATACCCATCTCTAGGATGGAAGAGAGCAAACAGCCAGTATGCTGTCCAGATGTGGCATTGAACAGTCCCATCATGTTTAGGGTGCCTGAACTTTAAAAAAAAAAAAAAAATCTTCTTATCACATGTTTTACTTCTGTATTTACCCTTCCTATATGGAAAGCATTGTGAAATTCCCCTGCTTGTTTGAGGATCTGGAAACTTGTCTTGCAGATGTGCTTCATTCTGGTCCCAGCCCAGAGTGCTGACCTTAGTCAGCTTCTTATGAAGTAGCATCTCTGTAGGGGCAGAGAAGTGACTGAAGTCTCTGCTCACATAGCTATTATGCATAAGCTCTCTGAGGAATACAAATCCTACTGCAGTAGGGACCAATCCTCCTTGGGCCTTTGGATATTACCATCATATTACAGCTCACTAATAGTAATCTGGCAACATTCTAACTTGTTTCAAACGTGTGTGGCAGGGGAAATGGAGATGGGAGTCACTGGGTAGAATAGACTTCGTTGAGCATGATTTGTAGAAATAATAACCCACAGTTGACTTTTGGGGTGCCATGTGGCTTTTTAAAGTGACTATTATTGACTAAAATTGTTACTGCTGTGACTTTTAATGGCCAGACGGCATTTGCAACAGCGAATGAAGAGAAGGCAAAGAATGCCAAGCTAAAGCAGAAGAAACGGAAAATAAAAACAGAGCAGAAGCAGATGCATGAGGACAACTGTTTCCAGTGTGGAGATGGAGGAGAACTAGTCATGTGTGACAAAAAGGACTGCCCCAAAGCATACCACCTCCTATGCCTTAACCTGACTCAACCACCATTTGGTAAGTGCTTTCCCATGGCCACCAGATTATTTGCTTGCTTCATGGATATCATGCTGCATATAAAGTTGTAGCTTAATCCGAACTGTGATGTCCCCCTACTGTAAATGTGACAGGTTTGCTTTTGCAATGCTCTTCTGTATTGAGAAATCTCTTTGGGTAGCAATATTTCTAAAGAAAGATCTGTGTGGAGACCTAGATCACCAGCAAACAGTTATAAAGCTATCATTTAATTGTAGAGCCTTTCTCCTGTTTGGATCACATTTGCTTATTTTATTTTGATTGAAATAATTAGTCAGTCTTGGTCTCGTATGGCTCCCAAGTTCATATCACATGGTAATGCTTATGACAACAGCTATGCACAGCACATGGTAGTGCTTAAATTTTAATAGTGTCTCTAAATCTCTTATCTTCTAATCATGTGGGTTTTCTTTGGGTCTCTTATTTTTTGTCTTTTTCCTTATTAATTAAAAAGGCAGCTCTTTGTAGCCTAGGCTCAAATTATCCAGCGATAACCAACAATAGCAAATTGTATTTAAAAACAAAACAAAAACACTTTATCCTGGTTTTTAAACTATCTATTTCTAGAGGCCTTGATCAAATTAACTGGAGGCTCACATTAGTCCATGACTGAATTAAGTGGAAGATTTTGTGCTATGAATGGAGTTCAATCTGAGATGTGCCTTTTCAGGACAGCAATATATGGAAGTACAGAAAGCTTCCCTCCAAATTTTCTTTACTAGCGACATAAATTATTACATTTGATCAGCAAGAAAATGCTGGTGAACGACTTCAAGAAGTAAAATTTGTTTTTTACCTGGCCTGGTGGAGGCAGACACAGCCATGCTAGAGATCTGGAGTCCTGTCTTGGTGCTGTACTTACTCTCTGGGTTAAGAGTCTGGGCATGCTGTGGATGCAGTGCGTTATGTCCCGAAGAAGGAGAGTGCTTCCTGTTTTCTCTACAGCAATGCAGTTTAAAGGAATATAGCATGATTTCAGCGTGAGGGAAAGGAGAAGCTGTTAACTTTCCTTTTTGACATGCTCAGGCTAATTTTACAACCTGACAGTTGGGCATGTGATCATGCTAATGCCTGCCTGCATGTTTTTGTGGTGGTCTCTGTTTGCTTGTACACCTCTACCTCGATATAACCGACCCGATATAACACGAATTTGGATATAACGTGGTAAAGCAGCAGCTGGGGGGGGGGGGAGCGGGTCTGCGCACTCCGGCGGATCAAAACAAGTTCAATATAACGCGGTTTCACCTATAACGTGGTAAGATTTTTTGGCTCCCGAGGACAGCGTTATATCAAGGTAGAGGTGTACTTAAATATGGCATTGCCCTAGCCCATTCTTGTCTGAGCCTCCTTCTCATTTATGACTCAGAACTCAGCCATTCGGTATTTTTAATAATATAGTGCAGTGTCAATCTGTTATAAAGATTGATTTAGGATACCCATTTCAGTCAGTGTATCCAAATTATTACTATGTTCAGATCCAGAAAACAGTGAATTTCACAAGTCAGACGTGCATAGAAGCCAATGCTCTATCTTGCAAGTACACAGGGTGTTCTGATGCTAAGGCAGGTGGATCTGGTTACATTTGGCTCTACAGTGCAGTAATGTTTTGCTTACAGTCAACCCGAGGCTCAAAAATGTAAATTTGTCAACGATAACTGCTTCCAATCCAATCCTTGTGAAAGACAGACGCAGGAACTTTAATAAAAACTGGCTTTTGGGAAGTTCCTTTTTTGCATAGAGTTGAATGACTCTGTGCTACATGGAATGACAAAGACCAATTCCAATATCTATCCCAGATAAAGACTAACTTCAACTTCCTGTCTCTTTCTTTTCTCTCCCTCCCTTCTTTCATCTTCAGGAAAGTGGGAATGTCCGTGGCACCAGTGTGACATCTGTAGCAATCCGGCAGTTTCATTCTGCGAGTTTTGCCCTCGTTCATTCTGTAAAGATCATGAGAAGGGAGCCCTAGTGGCATCAGCATTGGATGGCCGTCTCTGCTGCTCCGAACATAACCCCAAATCTCCTGTGGCACCAGAGTATTGGAGCAAGATCAAATGCAAATTGCAACCCCAGAACCCTGGAGAAGAAGCAAAGGAATAAATTTATTCAAACAACAAATGGCAAATAGATGATGAACTTGAAGAGACCGCTATGGCACATTCAGTCTTCATCATCAGCGCCGCCTTGCTGGAACTGGGAAAGGGACCATCTAATCTTGGCAGGCGGAAGCAGTCAGTCGTGTCCGTTTTTTGGGTTTTTTTTTTTCTTCTGTTCTTGTCCTTTTCTTACCTTACCCTTGAATGTGCTTCAGCAGCTCTTACTGTTGGAAAACAGAAATGTCTTGGCTTTCTTAAGGAAAAAAGGTCAAAAAAAAGCAAACTTGTTGACGTTGAAAAGAATATTGTTTTAAAATATGTTCTTTGAGTGTAGAAAGGAAAACATAGCATATTTATTTATTTAATTTTAAAGGATGTTGAGGATTCTGGTCCTGATCAGTCAGCGTGTCTAAAAAAATAATTGAGTAGCAAAACCAATCCGGTATAACGTGTATGTCTAGTTATTAAAAAAGGGAGAGGACCAACCCTCCCCAATCTACAAACAGCTTTCACATAACACCATGAGGAGTGATGTGGGTTTCAGAGCAGTGGACAGTGAAATGCCTTCATTCCAGTTGGTCATCTTTAAAGGTCTTTTGAGAAGATGGATTTCATCTCATCATGCTTAACTTATTATGAATAATGTTGTAAAGATTTTCACATAGGAAATTAGGAGTATATCCAGTTTTGTATTTTTTCTTGAAGTGCTTTTTATTTCACTAGATATTTTAACAAAAAGGGGGAGGGAAGCAGTTACAGTCCCTCATTGTTAAATGAGCGGTGTTAGCTGACAAAGCAAGCATAGAAAGAGCTTAATTGTGCAGTGGTCACTTTTCTGCCTCGCTTCATTTGGAGGGCAGTTTTGGGTGGAGAGGATTCATGGGCAGCCTAGTCATCTGAACATTGCACTACATTCATCGTAGCGAAAGCCCTGATCCTGCTTTTGTCGGAGTCATTGCAAGCTTTGTCATTGACTTCAGTGGGTGCAGGATTAAGCCCTTTTCGATGTATTTATCAGATATTTAGTCTGTGCTTGTTTCATGGTGATTCTCTTAGAGCCTGATCCTTTGTTACCTTCCTCACAAACTCCCATAGGTTTCAGAGGGAGTTCTTGAGTGCTAAAGGAATAGGGGATCAGCCCCATGTGTGTATTATGTGTTTTTAAAAGAGTTTTGGGGAGCAGGGGTGTTTAGATTTGCGGGGGTGGGGATAAATCTGCCAATTGAATTTATCTTCTTTGGTTTTTATCCAATAGTGAAAAATCAGTTCTTAAAAGCACTTCCTGAATTAACAGGGTGTATATTGGGCCTATACTAAGGCACTCAATCTTACAAAATACTGTGTATATCTCAGTATAGTTAGCATAGTCAACAGTAATCCTTTAATTCGTAGGCAATGGCTGGTGTACTGATATTGCTAGCTACCTTTACACTAACTTTCTGCCACTGGGTGTTCCGGATCACCCCCACCTGGAAGGAATTAATACAAGGCATGGCTGGCAGATGGCAGAGAGATAATTCTTTATTCATTCTGAAGAACATTCAACATTGTCTCTGGGAAAATGTCTGCATAGACCTGCAGGTACAAGGTGGCATCTCAGTTCCAGAAAGTGACTAATAAAGGAGTGGAAAATAATACCATGGGGTTTTGGAATATGGCTCGCCTTTGTACCAGGTTTCCTCTTGCATTTTCAAATTATTTCTAATCTGGGGAAGGTGTGTGTGTGTGTGTGTGTGTGTGTGTGTGTGTGTGTGTGAGAGAGAGAGAGAGTATTTG